GTCACACACTATTGTAGTCATCAGCCTGGAGAACCAGCTGGGATTCCTTGCTTTGCAAAGGAGATGGCAGGCTGTGGGAGAGAGCACCCAACAAGGAGTCGCAAGGCCTGGGTTCCAGTTCAGCTTTACTCCATATGGCCTGGGACCCAGCATCTCCCTCTTAGGGCTTCCACTGCCACATGAATAATTTGGAAGCTCCTCAGGTTCTGCCACTACAATTCTGCATATCATGGTGCTTCCAAATAGTAACCCTGCTGGGTGCGGCTACACAGACTTGGCTTCCAGTCTGCTGTGGGGAGCTCAGGCCATCTCTAGCTTAGGGCTCGTGGGCCCTACTGTGCAGTGTCTGCCCAGCCCACCCATGCTCACTTGAAGACCACATTGTCAGGGTAGTTGGTGTAGCCCACTGCATTGGCCCCTCGTAGCAGCATCTGGAATGGGATGTTGGGGATGAGCTCCCGGAGCTCCTGCAGTCGCCGCCAGGGACACTCATACAAGAAGCGCATTGCAACGTCAAATGTGGCTCCTGTAAAGGGATGGAGAAGCAGCTCAGATCAGCTCTGGTAGTCACTGGGATCCTGCCATGCCCTGGAGCTCTACGCCTTAGCCTTGGCTCCCTCCTCACTTTTCTGATTCCTTGTATTCCCAGCTCCAAGCATCACCAACTCTTTGTTGATGCTCTGGGTGCTCAGGCTCACTGTGCCTCCTGCATATGTCTGTATCACCTGCACATCCTCCTTCAATTCTCCATGCTGTTTAGCTGCTCAGGACTGCCTAGGTCTCAGCCTTGCAGCCTCAAACCTAGTGCCAGGTCTGGCTGGAGTTGGTTTCAGTTTATGGAACAAGCAAGCACCCTGCTTTTTCAGTTCTCACTCTTATTTTCTCCAGAGTGACATAAGAGAGACGTCTGTCAACAGCTCCAGCTTCTCTTAGTGTCCTTGGCCTTTGGTGCTGCCACACACAGCAGACACCCAATTTCCACCAATGCTGGCCAACATCCCAGCCCTTCTCCAGCCTACCTCCCCAGTTTTCCATGCTGAAGAGCTTGTTGAAGCTGTGGGCAACATAGGGCGCAATCTTTTTGAGATCATGGGTGCGCACACGAGTGGCCAGCAGTGACTGATGGGCATCCCTGAAGGTCGTGTCCATCAACAGCAGCCCCTGATGGTTTCGCACAGCTTGAGCAAAGCCCTTAGGTCCCTCTCGCAGAAGAATGTCCCTGAACCCAGCTGGGGGAGGGCCTAGAATAGATAAGGATATTAATGTCCATCCTGCAGGTGGTAATCTCTTGTCTCCCCCATGAATCGGTAGAATGAGTCCCACCTACCTATGGGCACAGCAGGGATGATGGGGTCCATAGGGCTGGGGCTGGCCTTGACAGGTATTGGGGTGGTAGGGCCATTCACCATGACATGTCCTGGAGAAAGAGTGAGTAGTGGTCAGGACCAGATGGGGCAGAGGTGGGGCTGAAGGCAGAGGTGTGAGTAGGTGGGCTTGGGGATAGGGACATTTCTCAGGATGCCTGGTGCTCCAGCTGCCCCTGTCCTCTCCAAAGCCAGGGCCTCCTGGGTCCAGGCAGTAGAGACCTATTTAGGGCCATATGGATGGAAAAAGAGGTTCTCTAGGAGCAAGGCAGATGTGGACCAGAACAAGGACTGGGCTCAGGGACAGAGGGCCAGGTGGGAAGGGGAGAATAGGACTGTGTGGGCGGACCAAGGTAGTGCAGCAGCTTCTGGGCCCGGTTCTGTGCGGGCCGCAACTGGAATAGCTCAGGGTTCTCGTCGATGAACTGGGTATCCACGGTCCCCGCCAGGAACTGCTGGTTGTTGAGCACATTCTGCAGGAAGGGGATGTTGGTCTGCAGGACAGAGGTGGGTTGGAGGGTGTCAGTCACCATGCAGCATGAACAAAGAAGAGAAAAGATGAGAGGCTGCAGATGACACCCTGGAGCATCACAGCTTCAGGGCCTCCCAATCTCAGCCCCCTATTGTGGCAAAATCTCCTATATGGCCAGGGCCTAAACTACACCCTCAATCTTTGCTCACTCCAGAGCATGTGCCAAATGCCATCCCCTTCTGTCTCCTCTGGGGTCTGGAACCTGCACCTCCCCGTTCCTCCTCATTTAGGACCAGCTCAGCCTTTCTTACAACAGTGCCCTGTGCTTCTGGAAAGCAGCTCCTGTCTGTGCCCTGACACTCATGAGGTGGTCTCCTCCTGGCTGAGTCCAGTGAGCATTCTTCTCCTCTTGCTAACAGTTCCTAACTTGATAGCATTTCCTTGGGTTTCCAAGATATCTTGCTTTTCTGGTGTCCTGCTTGGGCTCTCCTGCATGCCACCTGGTGGTCACATCCTAGTCTTGGCTCCAGTGACAGTCTCAGTCTCCAGAGCCAAGACCCAAAGGTGGAACTGGCAGGTCCTTGTTCATTTCTCATATGAGTTCAGCAGGTCTAGCCCGGCTTCCCTCCTGATCCCGTCCTCTGCCTGCTAGTAGATGTCTCACTGTCTACACAGTTACCAAAATCCAGACCCCATCACCCTTGTTACACTCTCCTGTGTCACTGCTCAAGCTGGATAACTGTCCCAGGGCCACCTCTAGACTCTGACCTCTTCTCAAACTCAGGAAAAACCTTCCACTGGTCTTCCTCATCACAGACAACCTTAGCTGCACCAACTGGGCCTCCTGATTGCACACCTCCCCATCTGCTTGGTAAGCTTTTCCTGCATGTCTCCTTGAAGGTTATATTTGTCCACTCTTCTTACCTTCTCAGCAGAGTGGTTCCCTTCCTAGGAGGTCCTTGTTGGAAATCCCAGCCCTCAGCCAGTTTCTTGCCTGTCTGTGGCTCTCTCTGGGAACTCTCTTTGGGGATGGACAAGGTGCCTGTCTGAAGTCCCCGGATCTATGTGCCATGTGCATAGGTTCTCAGCTTTGCTTATGAAATGGCCAGGTGACAGCATATGACTAACGCAGGATGAGTAGAAGCCACGTAAGGAACTATGGGCCAGCACTGAGAGATACCCCATGACTGAAAACCACATGCCTGGGACTCCATGTGTGAGCCTGGTCTGTGGACTTGTGGCTCTATGGATGAGGCATTTCCATGTCACCTAGTTATGATTTATTTATTTATTTTTTATTTTTTATTTTTTTTAAATTTATTTATTTAATTAATTTATTTAG